TCCTTTGCTTGAGGTTGCCATGCCGACGGTGCTGGGCCCAGCAGGGTTGAACATGGCAAGGCTGTTTCTTTTCAACAGTCGCGCGCGAGTGGGCGCGCGGGCGTTTGCTTCCCACATTCGCCCATGACAGCATGCTGACCACCCTTATTGTTCTTCAGCTTGAAGTCTTGGAATGCTCTTTCGTTGAGCCTTCACTTTACAAAATCTTTCAACCGACCTTGATTTCAATCACGATTGCTTGGGTCAGGCAACTGGGTTGCCAAAATGGGCGAGGACATTGGACCTATGGTTCTCTTGGCGCTTCAGGAGCCTGTTTGCCTTCCTCACTCAGCGGCTGCTGGCTGACTCGGAAGCTTTCAGCGGCGCAGTGGGACGAAGTTGCCCTTACCGGCCCCATGTGCTCATATTACAAAGCGCGCATGTTACTGGCTGAAATGAATCAACTTCTCCCCAGGCAGGTCACATCAGGTCACACTCGTCCCAATGCCGCCCCAGCGTTCGAGACACTGTAACGATGGTTTCACCAAGCGATCCTCCGGGGCAGAGTTAAACGCCTCTGCAAGGCTGGCACATTCGCACTAGGCAGAAGCTATATTATGGCGCCGGCCTTGCATAATTCATACCTGCCCGATGCTTCATCACCAGGTCGGACAGCTGTAAGTTGAGTCACGTGCTTGGCAGCCGCTATAACAATACCAAGTTTAGTGTTTCTGGCTGTTGACGAGCTAGCGCTCGGTCCATATTCGAATCTGGGATGCTTGTATTGCAACGCCTGCCTGCCGAAGCAGCCTGGAAGCCTGTAGTCCTATGCTGAATTGTCCCGAATTGGAAAGTCACACGTCCTCATTGACAAGGCAAACGGCATTCAGGCATTTGCCGTCTTGCGCGGTAGTTGTCGGAGTGTGTATGGGCGTGATGTCATCAGACAGCTTTGAGGGAAGCCGGTTTGTGCGAGCATCGCGGGTCGCGGGTCAATGCATTCTTCCATTGCCTGACATCAGATCCACAATGCCAATTTGCTAATACCATGCAAAGCGGACTTCGGGGTGACATTGCAGAGAAAACGGGTGGAAGATGAGCAATGCTGCGATTTTGAGTATCTGCCCGCATGCCAGTGATGGATACATTTAGGGTGCACAGCGCATCATTCGGCTCAAACCTTCCAACTCATGCCTCCTGACTGGGCAAAAGGGCAAAACTGATGCGCAGTAGCTGTGGATCAAGGCAAGGAACTAGCTGGGCCGGGCTCCTTCAGAAACCCTGAGGGCAGGGCGACTTAATGCGACACACTGGGGAGGCGAGTTTGCAAATGTCGAGCAAAAACTCGAGGTTGATTGGAAAAGTCATGGTGGAAAATTCGCGTGCAGACGATTGCAAAAGCCGCCTGCTTGGAGGCGGGGTGCTTGTCATGTGGCTCGCATGCGAAGCTTTGTTTGTTGCAATGTGGAGGCCCAAGAACTTGGTTGATTTCTGGGTTGCCAGGCAATGTCGCCAACTCCGTGGCTGAGCCATGTGAAATTGCAGGATCTTTGCTGGAGGCAGGGTTGCATAAGAAGCATTGGCAAAGGGTTAAGAAGAATAGGAAGGGTCTCTTTTGGTAGGCCCTGTGATTGGGTTAGGCTTTTAAGGATTGTCTATCAGTCGGTGCCACAAAGCCAGAACGATCTCAGACATGGAGACGCATGACTGCACTGGTTCTCTGGTGAGGACGCCAGGGGTGTGCTTGCCATTGTAGTCCGTGGTTTTGTTTGCTTTCTGTTCGGGGTGCAGGCATCCCCATAAAACACTGACATAACTTGGTTGCTATTGGGTTGGTCGAACCTTGGGGAAGTTTAACGGACAAGGAACCTTCATTGCCCTTGGACGGGGAGAGGGCTTTCGGGTTCGGCGTCTGCGTGGCTTGCGGCTCGGGCTCGAGCCGCAAAGCGTCACTGGCCTTCGGCCCTCGAAATCCCAGGGTCAAGAATTTGGAGCCCAAGTCCTCGAGACTTGAGGCAAGATAGGCAAGGCATGCCATGGCAGGATAGTGCCTTGGTATGCCGTCTGGACTGCCTTCTTTGGAACTGTCCCTTTGGCTGGCGAAAGTTGATGCAAGTTCGTTGAAATTCGTTCATGTTGCTGTCAGTTGCTTCGAAGATTTGGGTTTTTGGGCCTGACTCTTGCTTTGCGCTTGGTCAATGGCCACTTCAGCTGGATGGTGCACTGCTTTCGATAGCACTGGTTGAAGACTAGTCACGCTCTCAGGGCACACGCACCCCTTGTCCCTTTGCCCTACAGCCAGGCCGCCAAAGAAATAGATCCGCGAGGGCAGTTGCATTGCGTGCTCAGAAGGGGAAACGCAGGCGCCCACGAATTGCCCTTTTGACGGTGGCCACCCCTGTCGAGGCAAGATCTCTATTGCTCAGGCAGCTGGTCGAGTCAGCTAGGAATTGATATTGGATGCCATTCAATACGTTCCTCGAGAAGTACGGGCGACACTTGCTGGACTTCTTTTCTGCTTGCCACTGCACATCGGCTGCTGGCTGTTGGGGTCACTTGGCAGTTTCCGTGGGCTCTCCGGATTTGCTGACAGGGATCGGCAAATGTCTCCAAGCAACACGCAACTTGTGGAGCTTGCCAAGACCACAGGGCAGCAACTCTTGCAGAGGTTTCATCCTGCTCTGGGCGCGTGCAAGTGAGCAGTCTCAGTCCGAGACACGAAAGGGCGGATGTGCGAGCCGTGCTTTACAATAGCTGATCTCTGATTGGTGCCAGGCTGGCTGAGAAGCAGACTGTCATGTGGAGATGCATCATGTTCGCTTAGACCTTGGCCGCCCGCTTAGTCATGCCAGCGAATGCAATTCTTGCATGTATGTGCGGTGGCCCTCGCTGATTCATTGCATTCGGACCTGAGGTTGGAACAGGACCTTTTGGAGAACACGACAGCAAGATGCTGGACTGCAAACAGCCCCCGCTCACATGCCCGCTTTTTGCTCTAGTAGCACCCTTGCATCGCCAATCGCGGCCAGACCCAGCAGGAGTTGATCCATCGTGTAATTAAGCTTGGTGTGATTTGACGTCAGGCAGCATCAGCATATATCAGCGTGCAAGGCTGGGGTGCTCAGCACGTCTCGCTCATGGCTGCCGCATATGAGGCATTGCTCTGACTGCTGCGGACCTCGCGGTCCCGCTTGCCACAGGCGAGAGCTGCCAAGTAGCGCGGTTTGGATCCCAAGAAGCCAATTGTATCCCTCCCATACATTTGGGTGAGACGCCTTTATCCTTGATCCCTCAATCCCTCACGAGGGGGGTGTTTGGAACAATCATGGTTCCTATTGGCTGGTTGAGGGTCGATGCTTGTGAAACGGCCCGGTCCATCTCCAGGCTTCAACCAAGCTGCCCAATTGAAAGGTCGAGAAGATGCCTAGTGGCCACCATGTTCTGTGCTTCTGCCTCCGAAGCACCAGGTTTTCGTGTGTGTTTTTGTTTCTATCAAAATCACTCTTGGCGACACGCGCACACACAAATTGAAAGCTTTGCTGCCCCCGTGTTCTGCATTGGCATGTGTGTGTGTGTGTGTGTTGCGTGTGTGCGTTTCTCAAAGGGTGCTTTCCCAGAGCCGTGATGCAATTGGCTGATTGCGTTGCCAGGCCCCAACACGGAGCATGTCGCAGAGCATCTTGGAAAGACTCGCGAGCGGCATTTCGAAACCGAAGGCGCGAGATTGAGACCCGAGCCCATCACACACGCACCTGTTGTTGACTGGTTTAGTCTAGTCGCTTTGCTTTGGAGCTGGTGGTGAAGCACCACGAGAGTTGTTACATGCCAAGAAATTCATGGGCATCGGCGCTTTGCCTTTGGCGCCTTGTGTTTTGATTCGAACTGACAATGCGTGTGAGGCAAAGGCCGCTGCGAGCTGCTGTAGATACTGCGGTCATCCAAGGCGGCCGTTTGGCGGAATTTTCAGGCTGGATTGGGGCCATGCGGCATTCAGGCCGATTTAGTTTCTGGAACTGTGAGCCTGCAAACCCAGTTTTTTGCCGACGCTCAGGTGTTTTCCCCTCGAAGCAGGGTTGTTTTTTGCTTGGGACCAGTCTTTCACTCCACTCACCCACTGCCATGACCCAATTGGAAAATATGTTGGCCCTTGACAGCATTACTTTACCTGTCCCCAGAGCCGCGTCCGTTGCTTGTGGGTGAACTGTGAGCTTGTCGCAATTCAATTTGATAGCAGGCGCCATGCCATGGCCCGAGAGAGGCCCATCTTTATATCTCCGCCAGCGCCCAATGTGACACTGGTTTTAACAAGCAATCCTTTGTAGAGTTAAATGCTTTGGCCGCAAGGCTGGCACACGGACAACATGCGATGAGTTTGCCGACGCAAGATGTTTTTGTATGACTTGTTGGTGTACCTGCTGCTTGATGATTCATTACCGGGCCGCACACTATTTGCATCCAGCACCGCTTCAAAACATCACCACGTTCTGCCACCTACCAGACCAATGAGAGCTTGCGACGCCATCATCCACAAGAGGGCCAAAACTTGCATCCTAGCAATTTCCGCATCACCAGCATCAGCGCGATCAGCCCAAGCATCAGCGCGATCAGCCCAGCTATTTGCAGCCACTGCGCGCGAAATGTGACAAAGCCACGCGTATACCGTGGTGGTTTGCGGATTCCAACCGGGGCGATGCTGGTGATGCTCGCGATGCTGGGTGGTTTGCGTGCGCACGCTTGGAAGACACAACAAATTGCGGAGATCCTGGACCTGCGTTTCAACGTCGCCGGATCACGTGCGCCACCAGCACTTCACACCAACCCAGCGAACAGCTTTTGTTTCTGGAGAAGAATGCCCCAAGACCCAGGAAAAATCGCTCACTAAAGCTCAGCACAGGGCTGGGGGGGGGAAAGGGTCCGCTACAAATTGCTATATTTTCCCTGGTCTGTTCCGAGAACCGCCTGTAAATGCAATGTTGAACCGACCAGCAAGGCTTTTGTGCAACCGCAATGAATATATTCATATTTGTCCGATTGACCAAGCCTTGAGCCAACGGCTACAACACAATATGATTGCAGATAACTCCCGTCTGTGACGCGAATCATTGCATGATGTTTCCCACACGCCGGACGGATGCCATGATTCAAACGCCTGACTGCCGAAGATGCTTGGAAGCCTGTAAGTCCTATCCCGAATTGGGAGACCAAACGTCCCCCACGTAACACGGCAAACCTCATTCGTGTCAGACAGCTTTGAGGGAGGCCGTTTTGTGCGAGAATCGCGGGCCAGTGCATTCTTCCAACGCCTGACATCAGATCCACATTGCCAGTACCCATGCGAGGCAAACTGACTGCAGGGCGACATCGCAGAGAAAATCAGTGGAAGATGAGCGATGCTGCGACGCTTGATTTCTGGCCTAATTGCATGCCAATGATAGAAACATCAGGGGTGCACAGAGTATGATTCAGACATCGGCGCCGCCTTCCGGATTGTAGTTGCCCACTCATCGGCGACTAAAGCAAACCATTAAGTGGAGGGGGCTTAAGCTGTTGTTTTGTTTGAACAATAGTGTGTTTGCTTGGAGGGTTGTCGGCTCGCCTTTTGGAGTGCTTTCAGAGCTTGGGCAGCTCAACACGTCATATTCCTGACTCCTGCTTCAGCAACACTGCTGTGCGTAGCTGTGGATCAAGGCAGGGAAGTGCGAGCTGGGCGGGCCTCTTTGGAGCCCCTTGGGGCTGCCGCAGAGCGGCTTTGGTGGGCCGGCGAGTGTTACAATCCCGTTGGCATGTGTGTTTTAGGGTTCTGGACGGCCAGGAGGCATGGCTGATGCAAGCCGCCTGCTCAGAGGGATGGGAAGCATCGTGTGGTTGCAGTTAGCGTGAAAAGCTAAAGGTGCTCCGTGAATGGTGATGAATTTGTTGATTTCGGCTTGGGATGGCTTTTCGCCCTTGGCTGCAAGTCGAAGCATGCCAAGGGGGCATCATCACGAAATACTCAAGTTCGCCGTTTCAGCGTTGAGCCATTGCTGCGGGAGCCGTGAGATTATAATGGCGCATTGCAGATGCCCTTGTCGAGGCTTAAACCCTTTGCTGGAGGCAGGGTTGGTTTTAGCATCTTTTCGCTGAGGGGGCACTCCTCGCCAGTTTTTCAAAGCAATCATGCTTGGCTTTGTAGCGGCAGCTGGCCTTTGAAGCACTGAACCCTTCTGAGGTTTACCCGCTTCCCTGATGAAACTGCGTATGTTGACCCGACAGCCGACTGCTCAGAACGGCATCCCCGCCGAAGAATCTCCTACTGGTCCAGGCCTGGCCTGTCCAGCAATCGCGCAGCTATTGCAGGTGAGGGGGTCTCTTTCAAACACGGAGGTAGTAGTCTTGTTGCCCTTAAACTCGCTGTCCTGCTTGTGCAATGGCATGAAGCTTGCTTTCCTGTGATTCATTCTTTTCTGGCCGCAGAAGCCACGCAAATGCTCATGCCTCGCAAACCCCATGCATGTGAGGTTTCGAGCATGCAGCGAGTATAGGGTTAGCAGTGAATTCTTGGAGGCCCAGCTAAAACTTGGACTTGAAACTTGGGCACGAAGTGTTTGGGTTCGACTCGCAGGCATGGGCCCTAAAGTTCGCCTTCCTGCCATGGCCTCAACGAGAGCCGTGTCTCAGCCCTCAATTCGACTTGACTGTTGTTTGCAATGAAGGCATTGAGTGACTTGCGCGACTCAGCCCCTACAGTGACTTGCGCGACTCAGCCCCAACAGTGACTTGCGCGACTCAGCCCCTACAGTGACTTGGGTGACTCAGCCCCTCTTGCTTTACGAACCAGTCTAGACTTGGATGAACGAACCAAGCTCGTTGGTCCTGGGCGATGCAGGCTCCCATGTCCGTGCTCAGATGTGGTCGGTGCTTCATGGCAAGGTTGCAAACATGTGGACCTGGGCACACTTGAAGGAAGCCTGTGGAATTCCAAATAATGCGCACCTTATTTAAGAGGAGTGGCTTTGGGACCCACGTGTAGGTTTGCCCCTCAGCCGGTTCTGGTTCCTGCTTGGCTCCCGTGCGAGTTGCTGCACAAGAGCTCGGTGCCTTGGCGAGGACGGTGACTCAACCAACCCTTGCATGTTGCCTCGCCATGTTTGAGTCGTCAGCTTTTGCAGTCGTCCACTCAATGCCGGGCGCCCGGCGCCTGCCATGGCTTGCCTCCTGTTTGCCGACTGCGGAATAAATAAGCAGCCCCCCCCTGCTGATGCGAAAAGCCCTTTCCAAGGGAAGCGGTTCATTTCGGTGGAAGAGGCAAACCCTGCCTGACGGTCAATGACAAGAGTGACTGCCAGGGCTGGCATCGACCGCTGCGACGAAGCGCTCGGTGGTGGTGCCCAAGCAAACCCTTGGCCGGGCGCATAGCTGACCCATAGCCAGCTTGCATCCCCAGCGAGCAGCCGGGAAGCAACAGTGCAACTATGAAGTACCTGGTTCATTCTGCAGATCAGTTGCTGCGTTCGACCTTTTGCCACCCACTTTTTAGACTGGATGTTGTCCAATGCATTATGGAGTTGCCATCATGGGTTCAAGTACCCAGACACATTGATCGAGGTAGTTACCGCAGCCCTTGCTTGGTTGTTTGTAATGGGCAACACCCGGTGCCAGTGCAAGATAATTATGCCGCGGATGCCTGTCCGGAGGCAACAAGTGGGCCATGGACGTGGCAGCTACGAGGTCGCTGGGGCACTTAGCTACTTGCGACGCCCAAGCGCAACTCGTGGATACGGCCACAACTGAGCGCAACTGGGCAGCGCAAGGGGTTGCTTGTGCCCGAGGTGGAGACGCTTGTCTATGTGGGGGAGGGTAGGGGGAACTACAACAAGGAAGAGCTCGAGCCTGCCTGGAACAAAGACGGGCTCACTTGTCACCCAGTTGTTGTTTGCATGGCCGATGTGAAGACCGGATGTGCCAATTCGCCATGTGCCGCGATGTCCAGTGCAACACAAATGCGCAGCTTTCATGTTGCTCAGAGCTTGCCAAAGGTTATATTAACTTCACGCAGCCTTGGCCTAGGTGAAGCGAGGGCCCACGGTCAAGATTAGCTGGCAGAGGAAGCTTGGACCTAAGTCTGCCTCATGGTTTTGTCTGCTAGCATCAAAGACCTCTGAACAGCAAACAGTTGGCGGTGCGCGCATAAGTTGTGCTGGATCCCGGCCAGTGTTGCATGCGACGGCGCATCGAGAACTCGAGCCGGCTTCACAGGCTGTATATGGGCATCCTTTGCAGCTTGCTGGTTTCCGGCACCATGGCGCTGATTGCCGGGTGCTCGTGACCTTGCCTTGCCATGCCGAGTATTCAACCCTCCGGCCAGCTGTCCCTTTCTATTTAGCCAGTTGTGCGGCGAATAAGACGCCCGCACCGCGACTCGGGCATCGGCCACTGTGTTGCCCCCGAGTTGCTGCATCTTGCCGTTGGATTCTTCCATTCGAAGGTCTCCCGATAGGGCCTGCAATGCAGCCGTTCAGTTTCCGGCAAGGTGTCGCTCATCCTTGGGCCAAAGGCGTGAGCCGGTGGGAAACTTGTATGCACATGGTGCTCCCTTGGTTGCGTGACCTCCATGGCCAAAGGTTTGAGGTGCGATGACTTAGTAGTTTAACAAATGTGAAACTGGCTCTTGGAAGATGGGGGGAATATGCGCCAAGACATTTTGCCATGACTCCGGGCGTGTCTTGGACTCTGATGCGCAAAACATCATCAGACACAAGTGTTTGTTGCCAGCCCCATCGCAGATGCATTCGCCCGCTCAAAGCGAGCGACAGGAGCCTGCTGCATGACGCTGGAATTAAAGGCTTGTTTGCCAGCACCTTCAGTTGCTCCCCACCCCCCCTCCACCGCCAAGCACCGCCATCATGTGTTGTGTGTCGAGTTGGACTGGCAAACTTGTGCCTCCTGGCACTAACTTTGCATCGAATCGAGAAGGTACGCTGTTTGAACAGGTGCAGTTCTGTAGATGTCCCGTAGGACACAAGCCGGCACAACGGCAAGCTGGGCAGTGGCAGGCGTGGAGTTGACCACACGGCTCTCCGACTGATTGGAGTTTCAGCCAGGCCATGAGACGCCTCAGTCCATTTAGGGTTCAACAAGTCATTCAGTTGATTTGTTGCCATGGCTTTGGGTTTCAGTCCCTTCCCAAGCCACACCACTACATTCAAGCGCCGTGCCAGGGTGGCGGCGCCGCATCACGGATCCCACGGATTCGAGGATCCGTTGCGATCGGATTGGTGCAACTTTGTGGCCCTTTGGCTTGCGCTGTGCATAGAACGGCCAGGATGTGGAGGCCCGATGCAACATGGAGGCCGGAGACCCTTCTTGCGCCGGGGGAAGAGGGGGGAAGGGGGGGTTGTCATGCGCTTAGGCCGAGCAACATTGGTCCTTTGAAGTGCGGCAGCTGGGAGACCTGGCAGCTCTCACGTTGGTCCAAGCGCCTTGGGCCATGCGCATTGGGCCAATTGGGCCAAGTGGGCCTGACTTTGTGCTTTTTCCAGCGACAACTGTGCCCCATTTAAGACCTTTTCAAAAATGCAAAGACCGAAAGATGCCGAAAGTTTGAAAGCCAGCAGCACCACAAGTGACGATCAATTAACGCTAGGGCCTCGGCCTGTCAAGCGTCTTGCTCGATTTTCGTGGCCAGTGGCGAGTGGCAGAGCTGGCGCCGGTGCCAGATATTTCTCCAGTTGTGTTCCAATATGTTGTGATTGACTCTGTGTCACCGGCTTCCACCGTATTTGTGCATTGGTTGAGACAGTCTTGCACCAAACGATGAAGCGCGGCAAACATGATAGATCCCAAGAGTCCAAGCGTGCACCGAGGTTCTGCTGTTCCAACCTCGGCCTTGGCTGCCCAGAGTTGAAGTGCGACTCCGGCCGGACGGCCAAGTCAAGCGTCAGAAAACCCCCACGCAAAACCCACCCCCCGGGGCACCCTGCTAGTTTCAAGGAGCCGCCGAGCCGGCCCGAACAAACCGCCGCGAAAGGAAACAGCGCGCTTTCGCGAAAGCTCCGCGACAGCTCCGCGGAGGAGAACTATGAGGGTAGCCAAATCTCGATGGATTTTGAGCACTCAGATGGCCTTTTGTCAGGGGCCAAGGATCCTTCATTCCGTATGGCATTTCCTTAGGACGGGATGACTGGCTGCACTCCTGGCCAGGGCCTTGGTGCGCTGTGGACAGAGGAGTCCCCAGCTCTCAGGAACTGGGCTCAACCCTCACAGGGTGGTGTTGTCGAGCTGGCCAAACATTGATTTTTCAAATAAAGCATCGCACGGAAATTGTGCGTGTTGGGCGATTGAAATGTTGGAGTCGCGCTGGTAGTTGATGTGATGGTTGCCCAAGGTCGGCTTGCAACCAGTGTTACAAATGATGTGAAACCTATTGATGGTTGCTTAGCAGCAGTAGCCAGTGACCTGACACCTGCCTCTCAATTCATTGACCGCTGGACATTGTGCGCTTGAAGGTTCCAAAGCCTAACGTGGCATCAAGCTGGCGATCCAGTTGTCAGCAAGAAGGGGAGGGAGTTCCACTTGATTAGGCTACAATCCCGACCAGTGAGAATAATTTTGGACTGAATTGCAGCGTACGGGTCACGTTGCCAATCCTCGGTTGCAATTTGAAAGCTTAGGTCGCCCGGGAAGAAGATTTGGTGCTGCGAGCATCGTCGGGTAGGGTGCCACAGCCTTAATCTCTGCGAGTGCCTCCGCCCTCTGCCACCGTATCCTGCCCGAACACGGCTGTGGCTCAAAAACCGGTACCAAAATGGAACTCTGGTAAGTGGAAACAAAGGCCAAAACCTGTGTAACCCCTCCTGTTTTATATTGAGCCATACCCACCTGATGGTCTTCTTTAACCATTGGTGCGGGGGAGTGCAGTGTTTGACTGGGCCATGGCCATGAGGCGCTGAAAAGAGGCTGACGGACCCAGCTCAGGCGAGGCGCCGAAGGCCAAGGCGCTGCGAACGGAGGCGCAGACGGAGGCCACCGGGATCCATGCGGAAGCTCCCACGATGAATGCAATGGGATCTCTTCAGCGCCGAGGGATGCTGAAGGGTAAGGGGGTGGCACAGTGGGTTGCCTTGCCTCAAACGGTGTCAATTCAAAATGAAAAGTGGCATTCGTGCCAGCCAGGCTCCAACACAATTGCCGCCTGGAGTGGCCATAGTGCCGCCCAAAGCATGGATCAGTTTGACGGCTTGCCTTTGAGCTGTTCACATCCGGTCAGCTTTGCTTGCATGGTGTTCAGGTAGCGCCTGGTATGCTTGCGCTGCCGCCAGTGGGGGAGGCAGTCAGCTCCTAAAACGTTGCCATTCAGCAGAATGAGAAGAACTGCAATTGTCCGGAATTCCACGAGGCAAACAGTTCTCAACAATTCGCTGCATTGCAGTTGACGCATGTCCTTGACATGCTTGCCATGCCGTTAGCCGATCTATGTGCTAAATCTTGGGTCCTTCTAGTTGAAGGGTATGTGTGGGGAGGTAGTTTATCATATTGTAGTAGGGCTTTTGCTGGAAGCGCCCGACACCCCAGCAAGACATGTCAGTTTCCAATTTCTGTGCGTCGAAGTCGCTCTGCGATGTGGCCCAGGCACATGGCTCCTTCTGGCGGCCAATGCAGGAGCTCTTGACTTGATCACGGGAATTAGAAAACATGTTGAGCCACAATCAAAACCCGGGTAGATGAAGGTTGGCAAGGGACAATCCCAACCATAAATAGCTGCTGCCGCCTTCTCAATTCTTTACATGGTTCTGGGTCGACCATTTTAATACCGGGTTTTGATTTTGACTCAGTTCGGCTTGACATCCTTAGGTTGGACGACCCTTGGTGAGCGGTCGGTGAAGTTGATTTGCATAAGGAATGAGAGGGTATGGGTATGGAAAATTTATAGCAGAGCAATTGCACTCGGCCAAGCTATTGTGCTGCGTGTTTCCCTCGTGTCATGGAGCCATCGCGACAGTCAAGGAGAGAGGTGAAGCCTTCACAAAACCTCAGCCAAAGCAGCAGGCGCCGAATGTCATCGAATGTCACATGCTTCCTGCAGCATTTGCAGCTTCCCTTCGATATGCTCTGCTCGTTTGGCATGAGTTAGGTTCGGACATCATGGCTTGGGACACTTGCCAGCTCAAACGGCCTAATTTGACAGCAGTGCCTCCCAAACTTGAAAGAGAGACCACCGTCCAATGTCAATCCTTGCTGAATCTAGCCCTGAAGCACGATGTTTCCCAATGATTTGGCTGCAACCGCCGCAGCGTCTGCCGGGATAGGTCACTGCCAAAGCAGAAGGCCGGATTCCTAGAGGCTTGCGCCCCCCCCCCACGCAGGCAGTAGCCAGCAAAGGCAGAAGCGCGTGCCAGACGGTGTGAGCCCGCCAACCTAGGGCGCCATGACCTGCCACCCAACAGAGCGCGATCTGAGATTGCAACGGCAAGGTGCTGCCACGTTCGAGTGCAACCATGATGAGCATTGGAGACAAGGCCCTCGGATCAGCCGTCAGCCTGTGGCATCACAAGAGATACTGCTCGTGTGTCCCCGCCGGCCAGAATGGTCCGACAAGCAGCAGGCAGCGGTTTCGTGCCGTGGCAGGGCATGCATTGGGGGTTCCAGGGCAGAGTGCCAAACGCAAATGACAACTCAGACGTTCACAGAACAACTTATTTGAATACATTGTCACGGAAGATGTTTGATAGAAACGTGCTTGTAGCACCACCCTGTCGTACCTCTTGCAGAGAGATATGCAAAATCTGAGGAGGGACGCCGGGCCTGAAAAAGATCAGAACTGTTCGCGGAGTTGTTGGTCGTCAGTGTGGCTTCCCTGCTCACCCCATGTCAAACAAGTTTTCAACAACCGATCGCTTGTACGTCAACTGTGTGACCAGGGCCTTTGCCATTTCAAGGAAGTGGATGCCAATCTTTGTGCGATGCCGCTGCACGTCTGCAGTGATCGGAGCCATTCTTCGGAGGAGTGGTGCTGCTGGCACTACGGCCTAGGCCTGGCTGACCTCCCACATCTCCAAACGATGCAAACAGGAACAAACAGGCCAAGAGAGGCCAGCAGGTGTTATTCTGGCAAGTGCCCCTTGGCCACTCTTAGAACTCATAGAATTCATAGAATTCTGTGCACCGATTGCACTGAAGTCTGCAATGCTATCAGAATCATTTCATGAATTCAACATCCAAAAGTCGCAAGTTGATCTCGAAGTGCCTTGTGCAATGCGTATGGCTTGGTTTTCGCAGCGGATCTGGCAGCTTGTCAGGCTGCCCAACAAGATGAATGCCAGGCTGGTATGCCTACGAGCTAGCATGCAATTAGCGTATGCAATGTGCATTATCAGATCGCACTAGTACATAGTGCATGTGTGTATGCATGCCTGCTTGACGTAAGTGTATGTGCCACCGTGCTTAGCCTGTATTTGCTTGCCCTTGTGCGAAGATGTGTGTGATCCTGGCAGGTTTGGTGTCACCCTTTGTGAGCAGAGCAACTTTGCCCTGGCACGCCATGACATAGACAGGGGTTTGCTGATCTCTTCTATCACTAGCTGAGACAAACGATTTTATTTTGTCAAAAGTGTCCTGGCCTGCCGGGTTGTTGTTGTAATTGTCTTTTTTTGCAAAGGTGCATGAATGCAGCATGCGCCGACCATGAAGGATGCAAAATTATCGCTCTTTTCCGCAGTTGATCCTTCGGCAGACGATGTCATTCTTGCCGCTTGTAGGCGAACTAATTCCGGTTGCCAGCCAATGTAGGTACCATTGGCCTAGTTTGCCCACGGGCGTGGAAGGATCAATGGCTGCATGTGCGAATTCGCTTCAACATCCAGTACGAGCTTGGAGAGGCTCTTGGGTGTTCAAATCAGAGAAGCTCCGGGCTTTGCCGATGCTGGCCTCAACTCAAGTGAATGTTCTTTACGCGCATGGCATGATCTTGCTTGGCTCAGGGCGGAAGCCGTGGGAGCCAAGAGATGTCTAAAAGATCCACAAGGCAGAAACCGAACGCAGGATCTCGCTTTGATAGCGGTAGCTGGCGAAATCCCACGCATGACCGGGGGGCGCAAAGCGAATGGGGCCGCCTTAGGCCCAGCATCCTTGGCTCGGGGGGGAGGCAGTGCCAGAACAATCCGCGAGTCGGACAGATGCAGCTTTTTGCACTCGGCAAAAATGCGGCCAGTTGGTGCCGTGTCGGAAACGGGGGATGGCCTTTGGAAGGAGCGGGGGTCTGCGTGCACCAAGAACTGGTGGGTCAACGTCCGGCCCCCAGGAAGCCTCCGCATGCGCTCGCTCGCCCGCTTTCAAGGCGCCGTTCCGGTGCGGGCGCAGCCGTTTCAAACGGCCGGGCAAGGCGCTGACAGGCTCGACCCTTACGATTCCCGGGTTGGCAACAGTCAAGGTGTTGCAAGTCATGCAGATTGCTTCGGTGTTTCTCTATGTTATATATATATATACATTTATATTCATATGTATATGTATGTAATGCAATGTAATGCAATGTAATGTAATGTAATGATTAATGTAATGATTAATGTAATGCAATGTAATGTAATGTAATGTAATATAATGTAATGTATGTATGTATGTATGTATGTATGTATGTGTATATATATATACGTATATGAATATGTGTATACAAATGGTGTGATATGATATGCATTGGTATACACATAATCGAACCCGTTTGCAGTTCCCACCTCGCTGACCGAGTTTCCCTTTGGGGCACCTCAGCTTAGTTATGCGCTTTGGGCACAAGCGGAAGGGCCTGGGTTCCCGCGCCACGGCGCCAAGGCCATGGTTGACGTGTCCGCATGTCTTGACCATCGAGGCAAGCCGGAGTCAATCAAGTTTTGAGCGTGCCAGTCCCTATTTCAGTCAGGAACGGCTGGCATTTTTGGGCCCGGCCATGTAGAGTTGCCTTCCGAGGCACCCCCCCCATGTTGGCAGAAAAGTGTTCCGCCAGGCGATGTTGATAGAGCACACCGACCTGATGCATCCGCCCATGTGGAGTACAAGCCGCTGTCGGCCAATAGGACGGGACATGCTAGAAGGGCAGCTCAACATGTGCTAAAACCGTGGACTGGAAAGGCCGCAATTGCGACCTCCTTATGACAAACCGGAGCCATCCTTGACGGCTCACAATCCAGATCTCCTATCGGATGTACCTGCACTTGCTGCATTGCTTAGGTTTTCCTCTTTGCTCAGAAAACTGTTGAGCTACTAAACCGGTCTCTTCGCATTCCGTCAGGCACACCCAGCATGGGTTTGGGAGAGGCTCCCATGACATTTCTCAGGATTCGAAGCTTTGCGCCGCCTGCGCGCCAACCCCGCGCAGCCTGACTGCATGAGCAATGAGCTGGGGCTTTTGCATGGCTGGCCCTGTTCCCGTCGCGAAGCCCAAGGTGTAGCATTGTTGGTCTAAGTGAGCGGAAAAAGGGTTTGAGACACCGTTCCACTTTCGCTGAATGGTGCAGGGTCGCTAGTCGAAAGGACGACTTTGGGTGGATTTTGCTTTTCTGCCGGGAAGGACCGCTTGCTTCTACCTTCACGGCTCGCGGTTGCCCGCGCTCTGGCCGAGGGCCGGCCCATAGCTCCGATTGCCAGAGCCGGGCCCACAAGAGAGACCCTGTGAGTCAAGTTAATGGCGACGCTGGCAACTCCTAAGAGATTGTCCAATGAGGTAACGTCATTGCCGGTCCCTGGCAACATGCATTTCCTGAGCCTCATGAAAGAAAGGGACTAACTGGAATTGTGCGTGTGTGGTTCCCGTGGTTGATTTTTGCTGCTTCTGATTTCGCCATCGCCGCTCGATGACACCACGCAATGCAAAGCCAAATGCAATTCACAAGAAGTCATTGAACAGGCTGAGTCTGCATGCAGTTTCAGAGTATTTCAGAGGTCTTGCTTTAACAAGGGTCCCTTCAATCCTGTCTTGTTTAGTTGGGGCTGAACCGAGCTCAGTCGCATATTCAGACGAATGTCATTCGCACACTGTGTTTTCCGGCCGGATATTTGTCAAAGCCTAGCGCCCCACCACTTATCCATCAGCCTGCTGGCTTTGGTGGGCAACTTTGCCGAGTCCGATTTCCAATTCACAATGAATTGGCAGAAGAGGATCTTACAAGTTGCTCGTTTGTTTGCTTGGCTCCTGGAAATCGAAACTTAGGGAAATTGGTTGCATGCATATGTACAGGTCTTGTGATTATGTAAAGAGCGACCTGTTGTTGTAGCTTAGAGCGAGACAAGTAGATTACATAGTTTCATCAAGATACTAACCCCAACCCTGATCACTGGAGGTATGTCCATTTGCATGTCTCGGTCAGCAAGGCCAATGAGGCGTCCCTGTCGCATGGCTGGGGCAAGGACTTGCGGTTCAGCTGGGGCCTCATTGCAGCATTGGTGGAGAATACTTGGCGGACACATCTGCCGACGTTGTTCATTTGTTCATGCAGAGCTTTGTTTGTTGCAGAGCTGCTTTCATGGCGCTCGTTGTAGCAGGTTCTGGTGAAATATCGCCGGAACCGGCCGCAGAGGACCTCGCGGCTTCAGTTAGTCAGTTAGTCAGGGCCAGCGTGCACAACAGCGGCTGCTCGGTGGGCCTTGCATGGTTCATTCCTACTTCAAATGCCAGCCTGGAGGAGCTGCCAAGAGCGCCGGCAGTCGTCATCCGGAGGGTTGCTGGCCGAGAGTGTGACAGCCGTTGCTTGAAATCCTGTGCAGCCATGTTTTGAAACAGGTGGTTTCACCTGTGGCAACTTATACGTGCATATGCACGCTTGTGCATGTATACGGTATGCACGATTTTGCTTAGTTGTGGTGCTTTGAATCTTTTCATGGTAGGTGTGCTCTCTTCAGTGAAGCAAACATCAGATGAGCCATGGTCAATGTACCTGGTCACCCTCATTAAGACTCGGTCGTCTGCAGCACGTGCCGATGCCAAAGTACATGACTCGTTGCACGGCCTTTCCTACAGGGCAGTTAGCTTTGAAACCGGTGCTGAGGTGCTCGTCAGGCGAGTGCAGATGACGCAGGACTGGCGTGCACGAGCCACCTGCATTGCCACCCTCAATGTGAATATCTTTAGCAACCCATGCTTCATTTTTTGCTTTCTCGGATTGACGAACTACTCACCTTGAGGGAGAGTGCCACATCACCAGCTGATTGCAGTTTCTGACCCGCGCAACAAATTGCACTGTTGGGATGCATCAACCAGCAAAGTGCTTGTCGCTCATGTTGGGTGATGGTTGTCAAGAAAGAAAGAATTAGGCCAGCGATCCACTCGAGAAAGGAGAAGAAGGATGGTGAGACCTCTGAATCCTTTTTGCTCCATGGTACCCCTGCGCATTGATGAGAAGAATCGATCAGGCGACCTTGGCTTTGAGTTTGTTGGCGTAAGGCCATTGAGTACATAGGTGAATCCAAAGAACAGCTTCAGCTGCCGTGGCCTGAATCAACATGGTCGACAGTCACTTGTGAACAAGGGGGACAGGGGGGGAGGCAGGGAGAGAGCAAGGAAGAGAGAAAGGAAGAAAGAATGAATCGAAAGAAAGAAATGCAGAAAGCAAGCAAAGAAAGAGAAACAAGAAGACAGCAAGAAAAAAGGAAAGAAAGAAAGAAAGGAAGGAAGAAAGGAAAGGAAGAAAGGAAGAAAGGAAGAAAGGAAGAAAGGAAGAAAGGAAGAAAGGACATGAGGGTGATAGAAGCAGAGAGAGAGAGAAGGGTAAACAGACTTTGCAACCACACAGGCCACTTCTTTCCAGCAGGAAGCCGAGAAGGTTGGGTTATGCTGGAGATTGCGGGGTGCTAGTTCGCACAAGCATGATGTCAAAATCTGGGTACGTGAAGGCCCAAATGATTGGCGTGTGAGTTTTTCCTTGAACTAAGTGGCCTGTAGCAGAGGCTAAATCGGAGGCAGGGGTTTTTGGAGTCTGGCCAGGTTGGGGCATATGCTCCCCAACATCCCAGCACTACAAGATGCGAATCTGAGGTGCGCCAGGGCTGCTTTTTGTGGGCCGGCTTGTTGTCTAGTTGTCAGGGAGGGGGAGGAAGAATACGGATGCAAGATGGAACAACTACATGTGCATCACAGTCATGCGATGGGCAGAAGTGCTGGCGATGCTCCCTGCTTGGCAAAGACTTGGCTTGCAACCCCGGGTGAGAACATTGCTCCTGCCCACGCGTGAACCAATGACTGTGGTAGCCTGCAGCCTGCAATATGCGGCCTCAAACGCTACAGTATTGAACCGGTTGGGAGCCTGTGCCTGACGGCCTCCCAGGAGACACGCACCCACTCAGAGGAGGATGGTTGGGCTTTGGCAGACAGCAATTGCATGGGTGCGCGCTCCAGCCCACGTTGTGTAGGTTGTTGCGACCCGACATAGATGGCATTGTCATGCATGTTCGTGCTAGAATGCCACTTGTGCGTGTCGCGCAATGTGGAGCTTGACGAATTGTGGGCAGGAGACAGCGTCCACAAAGAGCTCGGATGATGATGCGTCCGCTGGGTGCAGCATGCCGTCCAGAGGCCGCCTGAAGATGTCCGCTTGCCTTTTGCTTTTGCCACAAAATGGTGGACTGCAGATGGTAGCTTTTCTTAGAGGGTGTGATGGAGACGCTGGTCATCCCCTGTGTCTTGTAAGTGTACCTTCCGAACCTGCATAGAACACTGCATGATGATCAATGACTCAGAGGATGTGCTTCAGCAATTCAGGGGCCGTGCCAGGTGCAGAGCCCAGACAGGCCGTTGGGCTGTGGGGTGCGTGAGGGGTGCGGTCACCCGTACCTTTGAGCCGTGACAGCCATAGCACCAGAAGCGAAGAATCATATTTCTTTCCCTGCAACAAAGCGGACGACTGCTTGCGTCATGCCATGTCATGCTAGTGAGATACACGCATCGACTGTGATACTGAGTAGTCTGAGTGGAGATCAGTCCGGGATCGGATTCGCTCCCAAGCCACAAGGGGCTCAGACTGCAGAGCATGCAGCGCACTCGATCATGTGGCGTCTTGTGCACCCTAAGCCAGGCGCTGATTTCCCCAAGATCAGGGGCAGCCCCGGCAGCCAAGGCTTTCCCTTCCTGTGTTGACATGTAGCAGGACATGGTGTGAAGATAGGGGTCTTGTTCAGATATATCGATTCTGCCAAGCATCATGCATTGGCATCATGCATTGGCATCATGCATTGGCATGCAGTTTCTGCATTTGACATGGGAATAGATACATCCATCGAGGTATTTTGACCCTTCACTCATATTCCAGGACCTTTTTTATCCGCCACGAACTCTTGAGTTGCACGCACCTCCCGCCTCAGCCGCCATGGACATCCAAACGGACCGCCGGGCGCCGCTGATGGCCGGGGGAGCGGCGGCGCTGGCAGCGTTGCGGGCCGGGCCACGGCCCAACGTGGAGCGGATCCTGGAACTCTCGGACTTGGAAGGTGGGGGGTTGGGATGACTTGTCAAAAAGACCCGATGGATGCTCCATGGGTCGCTGCGAGAACTTGGTCCCGGGATGCTCTTCAAACGTGCTTCTCACTGCGCATGCTCTGGACGAACAGACGGTTTTGATGGTATCGAAGTATCGAAGCATGTGAAGCGGCCTCATTCTTTTGAGGAGTCAGACAAACATCACTGTGCTTCTGCCAGGGTTCGCAGATCCCAGGACGAGCTCCCCTTGGAACACGGCCAAGCTGCGTTCAATTCGGCCGCACGCAGCTTGTGTTTTAGAATAGGGCGGGCTGAGCAAGATCGCTGACTGCTAAAACTCAAGTTGGAGAGTCTGATGAAGGCCGGCTACGTGATGCTTGTTGGCATGTTTTGGGGCGTGTCTATGCGTTTGTGCGCATGAAAAAAATTGAGAAAAAAAGACAAAAACTGGCAGCAGTGGCCGGAAACACGCCAACGGCAATGGCTGCCTATCAGCATCCGCAAACGCAATCTTCAGAAAATGTCATTGGTTGTTCAGAGCCCTTGCGAGAGCGGATGACTAGTGACCGGACACCTGGTTGCATAATTCCAGCTCCGAATCAGCGCAGCTGGTTGCGTGACCCAGTGGTCAAGCAGGTTGCTGGTGCAGTCCCGCAACGCTATGCAGTTGGGACTCTGGGGGCGCTGCAATACTAAGCCAGCCCTGCAGGATCTCAATCGCCGGTCGATGAGGCCTCGCCCATTGTAGAGCAGGATCTGGCCCTTCAGGCGCCCCAGACTGGTTCAGGCGCCCCTGCTTCTTGCTGACTGGACGCGCAGGATGTCACATCCGACGAGGAGGCGGTGAAAGCACGCAGCTCGTGGTTTGGGGCTGCCAGCTTTGCCAGCTTCAAGCGAAGATTCATGCTTGCGCCTTGGCTGATGAACATGGCTGAACTCTGCGGGGAATATGCTATCATTTGTCAGGGCTCCTTAAAAGATCTCCATTTTGCCCATTAACATGGTGCTTATTCCACCAAAATAAAGGGAAACCACCATTTACAACGCAATGTTCAGGTGTATGTAAGGATCCCTGTTTGTCCATACTTCCGGTAGAGTGGTTCCCAACCGTGAGCTTCAACCGGTTGAAGCAGAAGCCAGCCGGATATGGCATGCCCAGAGCCAAGGCCCTAAGGTCATGCATGCTGAAGCCTTACTGTTTAATTGGCAACTTTGCATGTGGCTTTGTGTACTGTGCGCGTGTGTGTGTGTGTGTGTGCGGAGTGACAGAATGCCCTGTCACCACCCTTTCGGTTTCGCAGCAGGGGCGTGCAGCACCTTTGGCATACTGCACGCAATGAAGCTGTTGCCAAAGGTGGGAAGGGTGTCCAGACGTGGACACCTGTACCTGCTTCAGTGATTCTGAAAGTCCTTTTGGCCCCTTGGTTGCGGCGCTGTTTGTGCTTCTTGTTCTTTCTGGTAACGTTTTCGACACTAGAGGGAAGCCGAATACATTGCGAGCCGAAACTCATCATACTCGAGACTTGTCGGTTGTACTCGAGACTCATCAGTTGTACTCGAAAGATTAGCACTCTCCATCTGGAGTTCAAGTGTGTACACCCCATTCGTGGGGAATCCTCGGGTGTACCCATTGTGTGACCCCGGGCCGGCTCTGTCGGAAAATTTGACCTCAACGTGCGTATCATAGAACAGCGGAATTTCACATTTAATCAGGAACGAGGTTTCACTAAAGGGAAGAAAGCCGTCAGTTCATAGTGACGTCTCACCACAGTTGATAGCTGCCGATTTTCATTGCCTACCCTGACCATTGGTTGAACTTGTTGCTCGTATCATTGCGGTTGTCGATTGCTGACTTGCATTTGCTTTGCCTTGTACATTTCGCTCGACCATTGCAGTTGAGGGCCGCTGACTTGCATTTGCATGGATTTGAATATTGTCGGGTCTGATTCTCTCAAGGTGGAAGTGTGCAAATTCCGATCTAGTTGCGTCACCATGTCTCGACGTGATGATCGTGATAGATCCAGGACTCGACGCAGACGTGATCGGAGTCCGTCCCCTCAAGCTCACAAAGCACGCCGACGTGACCACAATGACAACCAGGTCTCGGAGAACATGGATTGGAACAACTTGGTTTCATGGCAACACAACTCCGGCTACAATGCTGCTAACAACTTTCCGATGGTGCCTACCAATTTTCAATCGACTCACAACCCCACACAGCAATTCCAATACCCGGCGATCAACTACATGATGCCGATCCCTCCTGATCCCACACCATCCAAGTTCATGCCACCAATGATGCCACCACCGGTCACTACTTCCCAACCTACCCCTTCACCTGGACCTCCTGCAGCTCTACCGGTTCGTCCTCAGAAAGCCTGGCTTACTCCCTCGCCTGACTGGACACCTGCAGACGGCATGTTTGATGTCAATCAACTCTACAACTTCAGCCTGCCCATGACTGTTGCCAACACTCCACATGGCAACCTTCGCGACATGTCAGGCATGGATATTAGGGACGTACGCCTGGTTCAGGTTATCCACGGGGGCCTCACCAACTGGCTGCTCAGGCCGTTTGCACACGGCCGATTCGTGACGTGGGAAGGCTTTCGCACCCGCACTGAGGCCTTACTTTGGAGTACCTGCTCCAAATTACTACGAAGATCGCAGTCACTCAACCTGCTCACCCTGGAAAAGGACCTTGCCAACACGCTGGGTCTCAACATTGATGACTTCAATCAGCGCATCAAGGTCCACGACCATTTGGCCAACCTGGTACTTCAATTTCTTCAACAACATCACACCTCTCTCGCACCTGCTGCCCAGACCGATGACATGGTCAAGAAGTTCAATGACTTGAATCGTGCACATGAACTTCTCCAGGCTCAGTATTCCGCATCACTTCGCGCATCGACCTCGCCCACGATGACAAACCAGAAAGATGACGCAGAGTTGGTTACACCGCCACCGGTCAACCACACACCATCCTCGTCACCTGCCAGCTCCCTGCCCACAGCCAGCGCGGCCGCCCTGGATGGCAAGTCGTTTGATAGCGTGGTGCAACCTCGGATCATGCAGTCTCTTCACGGAGTGTCGTCACCGCCGTCCAAACCGGCGGCGTCACAGTTGCTCACCATGCACAGCACGCCGGATGAAGTTGTCAAGTACTACACATGGACCAGTGACCAACCTCGCCTTTTCCTCAAGCAAGCACCCACAACAACCACTTTGGCGTCGCTGGTTAAGTGGGCCAATCACCCGTCCCGGCTCAACGGCAACAAGTCGTTAGATTCTATGGCGACGCAGCTTCTTCAGGCCAGGCAGCGCATGCCGAAGGGCGATGCGCCCACACTCGGTGCAATGGCAGCACTATGGGGTCTTGAACCCGGGTACCTTACCAAACTCACCGAGAAGGCATTGAGTCACCTCATCGTGACCGCTCGCCTGCTTTGTGGATGAGAAGGCATCATATCGACCTTCGTTCTCATATGAGCCCGGAGCGGCAACAATGTCACGGATGAGTCCAGGTGAAAACTCGTCCGTCAAGTGTTTGCGTTGCACATGATTGATCTTGTACTTGCTTGTTCTTGCATTGCCTCTTGTGTGATTGTCTGTGATGCTTGTATCCATGTCGCCGCCTTGTGGTAGATTTCGTTGGTTGCATCTCACCATGTTGGATGAACTTCGCCACTGCGGAATCTATGATGATGTTGCACAATGGCAGTCGCTGGACGACCTTCTGCACTCGTTGACTACATTCTCGACGTGCTGGCATTATTGTTTCCCTGGACTACCACCACCGTCGATTCCAATTGAGGAGTACGAATCCATCACACAATTGCCGTGGCTGGGTCTCATCCTCGAGGTCTTAGTTGTGGTCCGGATAGCCCTCCAGATTCCGAATTGCGCTATGTCGAACTCTCAGCACACCGTGGCCAACAGGTACGAACTTCACAGATGTCGGTGCGCTGCCTATTTATTGATCAGTTTCTTACAACGACTCATTTCACAGGATCACGGCTACATCCCGCCGTTCTTCGAAGTCCTTCACTTCTACAAGACTTCTCTCTTGTGTGAAATCATGCACTCAGCTTTCGCTGACACGCGACATCTACGCTCATTGCGGGCGCGATTTCCTGACCTCTACGACTTCATACATGATCCAGGTCATCACCAACAACCGTGCGTCTACATTCGACTTTCCCCATGGCACACACCATACTATGTTGGGGCGACTGATCAGGATGTTCTACGTCGTGAACACTCACGCAGTCGCAAATTTCTACAACTACTTCGTGGACGGCATGCCTTCTTTGAACCGGCGCTTCACTACTGGAAGCGATCCAATACTTACTGGCTCTTCTGTGCTGTACCAGTGGAAATCAAACTTCCAGTTTCCTCGGTGTGGGTTCAAGAAAGCAAATGGCAATACCTGCTACGCCCGCATTTGAATGCGCCCTGGGTACACAGAATCTTGCGCAAGGTGGGCTTCCGGGAACATCTTGTAGATTTTCGACGCCACTCGTTGTCGTCGCCCACTTCCCTCGGCTTGCACAAGCGCTTTCGACGACGACTACATCCGGATCTCCAACGGCAACTACGACCTGACGCCCTGGATGACATTCAAGCCCACTACTCGATCCTCTATCAGCTGGGATCGAATACAGGAGCGTCGTTCCAAGTCATGCGTGACCTACTGTCAGCCGCTTTCCCTCCCACTCAGCTGTACTACTTATTGCGGCTCGCAGTATTTGTCAACGAGCCCTTCCGCTCCAAGGCCCAGAAGCTCCTCGCCCAGGTACTACGCAAACGACGGCTACAACCACCCACCACTTTAACACAGCTACTTTTGCCGCCGCTGCATGTCCAAAATTGGAAAGCTCTACTGGGCACATGGTTACAAAGCTGGATTGCTTCTCATCGGGATCTGTTCCCTTCTCTTTTCCTTCCAAAGATCCGGGTTGTGGAAACTCGCAGCGCCACATTGGGCGACAAGATATACAACTATCGCACATGGCAGCGCAAATGGGCGCCTGACACATCCTTTCCGTGTCGCTGTTTGGACATCGATGATAGCCATCTACACCGTGCACATGGTCACGCAGTAATGTTGGATGAGTTTTCTCGCATCAGTGCGGACATTAACATTGAAATCATGACCGCCTCAATGAAGGATCAGTTTTTCGGTGATGTCGACTTATTGCATCAACGTTTCACCACACAACTTCGCAAACTTGCTCGACGCTGGCATGTACATGGTTCCGGTCTGCTTTCAGATCTACAGCCAGTTGTGTCTCAGCTAATGGATACTCATCGGATTAACCTTCAAGATCGGGCTTATTGGTCATCGACATCGTTGCAACGCACTGTGGCTTCTTTGTCCTCGTGGGTAGTTATCCCAGCGGATCATTTCCCCTCCCGCGCACATGTGATGTGCCCGTCCCTGTTTGCCATATTGATGCGGAAGACATTCTGCGCGGGGGATGTCTTCTCACTTTGCCGCGAATCTGCAGCATCCTTTCGCTCTGAAGTGGTACACACAGTACCTTCTCTCCTACGTCAACGATATGCATGGGGCCTTCGACTTCAAGCACCGTTGCCCACAGCGCGCATCCTCCCAAAGCCGACCAAGGACTGGCAGAAAGCTCGACCCATCATCTCATTCTTTCGCACATGGGCAGCTCCCTTCCTCACGGTCTTCGGTGCACTTATATTTGAACTCACCAAGGCAGCCTTCCCCGACATTGCAGGTCAACTCTCAGTACAAGAACTTATCCAGCAGCTGTGGGAAGCACTGTCAAAAGCAGATCCTGATGAGTACATCCACCTGGTGTCGCAAGACTTGTCAGGCTTCTTCACGTCCATTCCTACGGAACGTTTCCATCAGGCGCTTCAAGTGCTTCTCCATC